GATGAATTATTTTTAGGTAACGATTTCTTATAGATAGACGACTTGTTCTCACATATCTTTTGATAAGGCTGTGTTTTTTTACATTAGAAGAGCAATACATTAGCTTTTGCTATCGCTCGCACCTACACAAGTGGAAGAACGACAAAAGTGATTAGCCATGTTAGTCCTATAGTGATAATTAATGTGAGTCCATATTTATTGAAAAAATCTGTCTATTGTCTCAAGATGCAAGGGTATCTTAATGATCTTATAAAAGTACATTTTAAGGACAATGTCGAATATTTAGAGGACTATCATCCCTTCATTTCAAGAGTCTTTTTTTTATTTTTCTTACCAAGAAAGATAAAAAAATAAGTCGATATTACCTTCAATAAACTTCAAAACACGTTTTTTACATCCCACAGTCATCTACCCTTCCGTTGAAGCACTCACACTTACCAATATCCAAGAATCATCATTAATTAAAAGACTTTTAAAAGTAATTCTTCATACTGAATAAACAAAAGGAAAGCTACTTCGAAACATATCATACACAAAAATCTATTTCTCTTTAAATTGATGACTTTTGGTATTTTACAACTTTATATTTTATTTTCTAGATAAAACAAATAGTATTACAATGAGTGGGAATAATAAAATTGCTAGCTTTTTAACTGAACCATTAGCAGAATGTGATCCTGAAATGTATGAATTAATTCGAAAAGAAAAACAACGACAGGTAGAAACAAAATATTAAAAATAAAAATATTTATTTTAATTTTAATCATAAATATAGGTTCGTGGTTTGGAAATGATTGCATCAGAAAATTTTACATCACGTGCTGTATTAGAAACACTTGGTTCATGTTTAACAAATAAATATAGTGAAGTAAGATTAAAAATACCTTTCTTTTATCATTTAAAAAGAAACAAAAAATTATTCAAAGGGTTATCCTGGTGTTCGATATTATGGTGGAAATGAAGTAATTGATCAAATTGAAACTTTAACACAAAAACGTGCTTTAGTAGCATTTGGTCTTGATGAAAATCAATGGGGTGTTAATGTTCAACCATTATCTGGTTGTCCAGCAAATTTTGCTGTTTATGCTGCGCTTCTTGAACCACATAGTCGTATTATGGGTTTAGATTTACCTGATGGTGGACATTTAAGTCATGGTTATTCAACACCATCAAAAAAAATTTCATTTACAAGTGTCTTTTTTGAAAATATGCCTTATAAAGTAAATATACAAACAGGTTTAATTGATTATGAAGAGTTGGCACGTACAGCAAAACTTTTTCGCCCAAAAATCATTATTGCAGGAATATCATGTTATTCACGTAATCTTGAATATGATAAATTTAGACAGATATGTGATGATGTTGGAGCTATTTTACTTGCTGATATGGCACATGTTAGCGGCCTAGTTGCGGCAAAAGTTGTTGCTGATCCATTTCCATATGCTGACATTGTTACAACAACAACACATAAAAGTTTACGTGGACCACGAGCTGCAATGATTTTTTATCGTAAAGGACCTAAACGACCAGAAGTTATTAATAAAAATGATAATTCAGTACAAATGTATGACTATGAAAAAAAAATTAATGAAGCTATTTTCCCTGGAATGCAAGGTAAAACTAAGTTCTAAAAATTAACTTTTCGATAGTCCTGTTAGTCATATGTAAATCAATCACCTAACTTGTGGAGGGGGAGAGAATATTGAGTTTCTCCAACCGAGATGGAATCAGTAACGTTGGGATTTCAGATTGACCGGGCGTGAAAAGTCTAGACCTGTACCATCTTGGCTCTCAAGTCATCACAGTCAACCTCTATTGTGGTATTCAATCTTCATAGGATATTGAATAAAATATAGTTTTTATTTAGGTGGTCCACATAATAATGCTATTGGTGCAATTGGTGTTTCATTAAAACAAGTCGCGTCAGAAGAATTTAAAGTTTATGCTCAACAAGTCGTTAAAAATGCAAAACAACTTGTTAAAACACTTTCAGAAAAAGGATATACATTTGTTGCCGGTGGTACTGATACACATTTGGCATTACTTGATTTACGACCAATAGGTCTTGATGGTGCAAAAGTCGAACGTGTATTAGAAGTTGTTTCAATTGCTGTCAATAAAAATACATGTCCAGGTGATAAATCAGCATTAAAACCATCAGGTATACGTTTGGGTACACCAGCATTAACAACACGTGGTTTTCAAGAAAATGATATTGTTCAAGTTGCTTCATTTATTGATCGTGCCGTACAAATGGCACTTGAAATTAATCTCACAAATCCAAATCAAACATTAAAAGACTTTAAAGCCAATATGAAACTTGATCAGCATGCAAAAAAACTTGATGAATTAAAACAAGAAATTGAAGAATTCTCTTCGAAATTTCCAATGCCTGGTTATGAATCAATATAGGAGTCTTTCTTTATATCTTTTGAACAATAATTTTTTTTCTTTAATGTTCATTCTTTTGTGATGTGATATATTATCGGGTTTATGGTGCTAGTTTTTTTTTCCACTTATTCACATAGCCATTCGATAGAATCTAAGTTTTAGATTACTTTTTTTTTTAATCATATCTACATAAGAACAATGAGTATCACTCATTGTATATTCGATCTAGATGGCTTACTATTAGACACTGAATCAATCTATACTGAATGTTTACAGAAATTATGTGCACCATATGGAAAAAATTTTACAACAGAAATAAAACTTAAAATGATGGGAAGATCATCATTAGAAGCAGGACGAATATTAATTCGTAACTTATTCATTTCATTAAATAAAATAAATAATCTTTGAAATTTTTACAGATGCCTTGGATTTACCGATGACTGAAGAAGAATATTTAACAAAATCAACGGCACTTTATAGGGAAGCGTTTCCATCGTCTCAACTATTACCAGGTGCTGAACGACTTATTCAACATTTAGCAGCTCATAATATTCCAATGGGTAAATTCAATATCATCTAAATGAATACTATTTCAATCATTTTAGGAATTGCTACTGGTTCTAGACTTGAATTATATACTATCAAAACTAATAATCATCGTGAATTATTTAAATTATTCGATCCAATTATTTGTACAGAACCGACTGAATCACGTTTATGTAAACCAGCACCAGATATATTTCTTGCATGTGCAAAAAAATTTTCTAAACCACCTCTTTCAATGAGTCAATGCTTAGTATTTGAAGATGCTGAAACTGGTATTCAAGCTGCTCTTGCTGCTGGAATGAAAGTTGTATTTATACCAAGTTTACCTATATGTGCCTATAATCCAGAAATTATTAAACAAGCTACAATTACATTAGATAGTCTTCTTAAATTTGATCCTACTGAGTTCCGTCTACCGTCATTTGATGATGCTTAGAATGATAAGAACTATGTTTGTTTTGTTTGCTTGTCAGATGTGCAAAAAAAGGACTCTGATTTATACAACACACTATTATTATTATTTACTATATGCATTTTGTGTTTTATTATAATAAGTTATTCAAAAACTCACAATAAATAAATAATACGATGAGAAAATTAAAGAATTGTTTTAGTACTTAAAGGAAAATAAATAGTTGCAAGAGACAGAACAGTTATTTTCTTTTATCTTTATTAATCAATCATTAAAATATGCAACTTGTCACTGCTTTGTTATAATATATAACCTTCAAAATTAGCACAAATTAATTTTACCTCAAGATTTTCTAGACAATCATTTATTAAGCATTTTTTAAATAAAACTTTATTTAGAATATATTTTTAAATTTATTTTTAAATTTTATACAACGACATGAAACTGACATTACCACAACATTCATGTCTACATAGTTTCACGACAAAGTTATATTCATATTTTCTATAATATTCAGCTGATGATGATCCATGCTTCTTAACAATCGTTAATAACAGACAATATTTAAGAAATCTTTCATTTTTTTCTATGTTTTCCAAACATTTGATTTATTGGAGTTTTGAGTCAAGATGTGCAAGACTAATTTCTTTTCGATTTGAATCTTGAAAATGATTTCATATTGTTTTCTCATGATATCAGGTGAGTTTTCAAATATGTTCATTCATTAATTTAATATTGTCATACTGTCACTTGGACTTCGGTTTTGATTAATACAATACACGAAAAAATTTATTGAGAAGTAACAAAAAGAAAATGAATGATTATTTTCTTCTTAATGCATCAGTTTTATGTGTTATGCGTCTTAATAGTGATATATATTTGTATGAACTAGTGATTCTTCTCTTTCTTTTCATGTTGATTATATTAATTAATTTGTGCTTTTAATACAGATGGACAATCACAATTTTTATACGAATATGAACCAGATCGTGTGCCTTTGATGATCGAAATAAAATATGATATATAACTAATCTAGTTATTTATGTAGAGAGTGAATATATTTAGTTGAATAATTTTAACATCAAACATTTTTAGATGACAACAAAATGTATCCTGTGCAATTTAAAATCATACAAATGATTCACATTCTAGAGCTAACAATCCAACAAATTACAATTGAAAATGCAGAATAATAGTTTAATATGATCAACACCAACTAAAAAACTTCAAATAGAAATAAACTTAGTAGATTATTCAAATCTGATTGGCTCGATTATTATATTTATTCATATTTTATCTGCTATTGATTTGTCTATATTGTTGAATAATAATAAAAAAATTAGCGTTCATGTAGTTATCTAAATTCTATAGACATACTGCTAAATACATAAGACGTATCGAAGAGCAAGAAAATGTACTCTTTTTTTTTCTCTTGCTTCATAGAAAGCAAATTACCATTTTCTTTTTGGCCCAATTCTTTCCGTTCTTACTCTTCCTATTCGTGTAAACTTCCATTTATCAGCTTGGTATGTTATATGAGACGAAGCGGTAAAGAGAAAAAAAGATATTTAACGTTGATTGGCTTCCTCTCAAATGATCATTAGTTTGTTGGTGAATGTTATCGTCTTTAGTTTAACAACTATTACCAATGTCATCGACAACAAAATCGTTTTTAATCAAAGATATTCTTTCGGAAAATTGTGAATCAACATCTTCTGATGAAAGCAATGATGATAAAGAAATGTTCGTAACGAAACCAATTGATCTTCGTCAATATTTTAAACATCCATTATGTCCAGTACCTTTACGTCCAAGTTCTTTATTACTAACAAAATCAACAACAACAACAACAACACTACGTAATGCATATCGTATGGATAATGATTTACAAAATTCGCCACTGGATGCTCTTTTTGAAATGACGAAGAAAACATTCGACAAATCAAGTATGAGTAAGTTAATATTCTCGTTGAAATTTAGCTAATAGTCAATGTTAAGTATTATTCTATTTTCAATTGTGACAATAAGAAATAAATCGAATCTTGAAAAATAGATATTCTAAGACAGTTTTGCTATCGATATGATACTAGAAAATTTCAATTGGAAATCACAAAATAATTGTTTTAGAAAACTAAAATTAAGACCAAATTTATCAACCATAATTAAGAATTGTAATGCAAAAAAATCTGTTCGAATTTTTTGATTTGTTGAATAAACTCTTTGGTTTTTCATTGGCTATTATTCATCTTATTTTTCTAACATTGTCAGAAAACAAATGAATATATTGAAAGATGATTGAAACATTATTTCTTACTCAGAATAATTCTATCACCAATCAATGAATTCATCAGAATTCTTCGCTCTAAAAATCTATCATTTCTTCTCTTACATTTTTCTTTATCTATAACTTGATGTCATTAATTAAAATTAATATGTGTCGAAGAGTAGAAAAAAGAAATACAGATTTAATCGAAGTGATTTTTCATCATATTTCACTATTCATCTACTATCAAATCCTTTTTGTTATCTAATTCATTTTATTTACGGTTCGTTTAATATTTTTCAATTTGTGTCCAATTGATTATCGAATTCTTTTTAAAGGTCAAGTGTCTGACATGTACTCCCGATAATCAATAGAAGTTCATCTCTTTTTTTTTTCGCCTTTTCAATCTATACACGTGAGTCTTGTCTATTTGTTTTATCTTTGGTAATACGGCGAAACGAATGAATTGAGTTTGAAATGAAGCATTCGATGTACTTTTTCTTTTCTTTTATATTCAATCTTGTTTGGAGAACGAGAACAGTTACTTTAAATATGTATATAACAATTATAACTGTTTGGACTAGAACAACAGACGTACATTGGACGAATGATGATGACAAACGAGTAGTCTATCCTCATAGAAAAAAAAAAAAAGAAAAGAAAAAGTCTCATCATTAATCGATCGACATGGCACAAATTAATTGTTTCTTTCGGCATATCTTAGAGTGTATATATATATATTCGTACTCATAATTGGATATCACAGTTTGTTCATCTTTCTTCTTCTTGTGTATGTTGAATTGATATCGATCAATTTGATATATGATTATCACCACTGTTTAGAACATAGATCATTGAAGAGTATTTTTTCTATCAACAAATATGATTAGCTTCTGCTGATAGACTTCCTTTCTATTCGTTGTGCGTCATCAATAGTTGAGATCATTTGTCATTATACATACAACACATGTTTAAGCATTGTTTTTGATTAGATTCATTTGATTCGGATGTTTCATTAAAATTAACACATGAATTGCATAAAAGAAAACGACGTAAAAATCGTACAGCATTTACTGCTCAACAAATCTATGCATTAGAAAAACGTTTTACACATCAAAGATATTTAACACCAAATGATCGTGATCAAATTGCTAATGAATTACAACTTTCACCTGCCCAAGTTATTACTGTAAGTTTTATTTCATTAGATTTTATTAAATGCTTTCTTTTTTCTTCTATTTTTGTTTTGTTTTAGTGGTTTCAAAATAGACGTGCTAAACTTAAACGAGATTATGAAGAATTGAAGAATGATGTAAATGCAGCGCGAAAATTACAAGCTATGGGAGAACCTGTTGATTTTTAATTAATTGTTTTTTTTTTTTCATTAGTTTATTTATTAAATAATAAAAGCGTGTACAAAGAAAGAAAATCTGCATGTAAGCATCAACGATGAATCATATCTACATATTTTTGTTTTTACAAATAACCTGCTATATAAAGAGATCATTATCAGTTTATAACAATATAAATTTTGAATAGTTTTATATAAATAAAATGTATTCGTGTTTATTCTATTGTCAAGAATAGTCATCAAGACGTGAAACAGATTTAAATAGTAATTGATAGAAAACAAAACGCTTTGGCTCTCTTTTAACGGTTTCCATTGCTTTAAAGATCAATTTTTTTATCGTATGATGAAGATCTCGGATCATGATGAATGAATTTTTTATCCTCACGCTAGCTATTAGAAGTTAATTTCGATCTGAACTAAGAATTTTCCATCTCGAAATTTTAAATTGATATTGCTGAACTACTCTTTGCCAACTCTCATAAAATCCTAATAGTTAGTAATTTTTGAGTTAATACTTTTATTATAAAATATCAGAAAAAATTCTGTTCTCTTGTCAAGATCTTGCCAAATACTAACATCATACAACTGTGAAAATATTTATATATTAAGAAATCTCTCAATAGAAAGTCTAATATAAAATCCGTATATTTTATAGTTCACTTTATCTGCGTGTCGGTAATAGTGTCCTTCTACGAATTGAGATGCCTTTCATTTGTGTTAAATAATTGTTTCAAATAAGAATATATCAAACTTCTCAATTGTTGTAAAAAAAAATCATATAATTATTGAAAAAAGTCAGTCAAAGCGTAATATAGATTTTAGTTGCTGTAAGTTGCTAGATGAAATGTGACAGAGTAAAATAGGAGTTGTTGCTATTAGAAAGTTCAATAGTTATATGAGTTTTACATTGTATGCCTTCGTAGAACTGAAGTAATAGATTTTTTCTCAAAAGAACGGATTGGTTAATTGACATATTAAGAGCACCAGTTTTTCATCAGTTAAATCGACACCTTCAACTGGCTAGTTCAGTCTAGTAGAAAAAAATCTGACCAGTTTTAATTATGACATAATCTGGTTAAAACGAACAAAGAAAATTCAAAAGTTTGGGATTTAGTTACTGGATATGGTGACCATGATGATGAATTCGATTTTCATTGAAATTCTTAATATTTGGAAAAGTTTTCTCGAGAAATCTCGAAAACTTAAAAGTACAATTTTTTATATTTGAATTCAGTATCGGATAAAGCATTGAAAATTACGTATTCAGTCCAAATTTCACGTTGCTTCTAGTCTTGTATCAGAAGATCTCGAAGTTCCCAGTTTTTATAAGAGATGAAGAAAAGCAGATTTTGGATCGATAATCCTTAATTTTATAACCGATCATGCTGCTGAAGAGCTTTTATAGTTCATATTCGAGTAAATAATGTTCATATAGCTATTATGAACCTTTTTTTTGTCATATCTTAGAATAATCCATTAAGAAAACACATGAACAAAAAATGAATATTAAGTTAAAGAAACATTGGGGACAGTATTGCTTTTCTTGTTTATCAAGAGCCTTTGAGTAGTTGATGTATCCATATTCTTAATCAGTGAATTGGACTCTATCAATGAATATGTTATTCAACAGAATGAAGGGTAAATAGTTTTTTTTTCCACTGATCCTCATGGGATACCACAGGTCAAAAAAGAGCTTTTGGTGAAACTGTACAAAAACTAACTTGTGTAATATCATCAGGCATCGTGTCTTACTAAAAAACGATAAAAAAAATCAATTTTGTTGAAGAGCAAAGAAATTACACTGTTTACCCTAATTATTTCTTTAGATTTCATAAAAACGCTAAAAAATGAATGAACATTTTGTCTAATTACTTTTCGATCAGCCACTATATATGCGCATGGTATTTTTGCATTTGTTGATTAAAACTAGATGTGCGACTACTTTTTTCCTTTGCTATGTATGTAAAATGAAGAAAGAGAAAAAGAATAACTCGGAATCTTTAATCATCGAAGAACTTTTGTTTCCCTATTTATTCATTTTCTATGGCTGCTATGGAGAGTGTGCACGCACTTGGTAGAAACAGGAAATGAATTCGCTTTGGTATGAATTATTTGACAAGTTATGATCATTGAGCGTAATATCAATATATATATATATATATATATTTGGATAAAATTATAAAACTGATATCTAAAATAGAATTTCTTTGTCTTTTTGTTTTTAGTATAATAAGACCTAACAATGAGATCGTTTCAAGTATTGCATCATGGACGACGAATAATACCAACAAATAATGAGTTTGCTCAGTCAATGAGTCGTTCATCTAGTTCTACATCATTATCAAAACGTCGAAATTCCACGTCATCACTTTCTAACAAACAATATCGAGATTTACAACTATCAAACGAAAATATCAAATCATTATCACATCGGTAATGTATTGCAAAATTTACTTGTTGATAACTTTTCTTGTTATTCTGTCTTTCTGAGAAAGTACTAAATAGAAATATAATCGACTGATTGATAAATACAGAAGTTTTTTTTTCTCATAATCCTTTTTGACATTTTCAGAGTCGTGCACTTTCTTTCTGTGTTTGTATCTAAGCCTTATAAAAATGCATGCAAAGTAATAAAAAGAAATGCAATTACTTTTTTCTTTTCTAATCATCATAGAATTTCTGTGTCAATCCATGTGTTCAATAAATTGCTCTATTATAAAAGGGAATAGCCATTGCCAAAGGAACTCTTTTCATTATTTCAGAATCTTTCTCAGAGCTTTTAACGAAAGGTATCATTAGGATTGTACTTTATATATCTGTATCGTTATCATCATATACAAAAATAAAAGTCAATATAATATTATTATATCATATATTTTTACCGCTATATTCCAAAAACAAAAACACTATTAACATGAGTGATGAATCGACGAATTCAAACACCACTAACAGGTAAGTGTATCGTAAAATATGATAATTATATCGTAAAACAGAAAATAACTGTAATAAAACAAATTACTGACTTTAATTAGAAACAAATGAGAAAGTCATGTATACAAACATCGATAGTTATTATTACAGCTCATTAATATTTTCATTGCATTAATAAACGATGAGAAATTTCAAGAAGTATATAGTCTATTTTCTTTGTTTTAGAAGAAATACATTACTTCTCAAGACTGATTTATCTCTTCAACGATCGAATTCTCAGCAACAAGATATTCAAGTATTAACAAAATTTCAAAGAAGTATACGAAATTTTTATATATTTTTTTTTATACTTTTTTTCTTTTTATTTACGTCTATTGTTTATTCATTTATTCGCATGATTAAAAATATGGATTAACAGAAAAAAAAAGAACATTAATAAAAGCTTCTCGTTTGTCTTTATTCAAATGAATAGTACCAAGCTGATTGAATAACTTTTCTGTCTTTTGATATAATAAAATAAACATAATCATGATTACCACGCCATTCATAGATCCAAATTTCAGCATCATGAGGGTATTCATAGTTTTCATGATTACGTTTAAGTTCAGCTAAAAGAGTTGCATCAGGACGATCAAGAATTTTAGTTGGCGAACCCATTAAATGTTCGATTTCATATGGCGTTGTTCCGGGTTGACCTAAATGTTTTTGTAATTCGACCATTGCTTGATGACGTTCACTACCATGATCATCAATAGCATGATCATGTTCGTGCTTATGCCAATGATCATGATGGTGTTTTAAGCGAAGATATTCACTTGATGCTGAGAGCATATTTCTTGAAAACATGTTTTACAGTAAATGTAAATGTTTGATTTGAATGCGAAGTACGTTGTGAATGAGAGAATCCTTCATTGATTATCCTTCAGTAAATAAAAAATAGAAAGAAAAATGGATTAACCTTTAATAAAAAATAAAAACTATACACATGACCTTTTATTTAAAAATAGTCTGTACTTTTAATAAAGGATTTGAATTGCGTTTGTAGCTGATTAGATTGAGAAATACTGGAAAATAATGGATGTGTCAGAGTAAATTAGACTGTTTGTATTTTTAATATTTCTTCTTTATTGTTCACTCGATTAAAACACTATTTTAATCAAGAGATAGTGCTTGAGATTCTGAATAAAATGGTATAGTTTATTTAATAAATATCGCTTTTCCCATGCATTTGTATCAAAGGTAATCATATAGTAAAATCAAATGCACTGAATGTAAAATTTTCTGTTTTTCAATTTTTTAAATAAAACATTTTATGTAGCCTATCGATGTTACCGTTGTTTTTATGTGACCTCAATTCATAGCTTCAGTCAGTTCATCTCATAAACTGTAATCTAATAGACATAAATCAGATAGATTTAGTAACTAATAGTTGTTAGGTATGAATGCAGAAAAATAGCCTGTACATCATCTTCCACTGAAGTAATTCGTGTAAACCTTAAAAGAACGCCGCTAATATTTAGTTTGGAAAATTAGCCTGCTCTTTTTATAAAGGCCAGTCATGGTTGACTCTTTCACCTTCTTCTATAAGGAATAGCCAAAACTTTCATGCGATAGCAGTGGTACGCAGTTTGTTTTAACAGGCAGTTTTCTTGCTAATACCAGTTTCTTGAAAGTTAGACGCTGCTTCACCTGTTAGATATTCATTTTTGTTCGAACTGTGCATAGACAGTCAGAATGGTGTGACAAAGTGATAGAGCCAGTATTATTGATCATTTTTATTCATAATTAATTGATTTGTAATGAAACCCTTTCAGTCAAATTACAGTAAATTTTTGCCAGTCTATCATCATTTTCATATTTACTTTTTTTTACAGCTGTTCGTATGTCTTTACTTGTCATTTTTTTTCCAAATACATCTAAAGCAATTTTTGGTTTCAACCATATATAGTTCTGTAGAGAATTTCAAACGTCATTTTTTCCTATAAAAAAAGAACGTCGCGATCTAATGGAGAATAGAAGAGAAATACTCAAAATGCAAATATTTGATTTATTTTGACCCACCTGTTATTCATCATATCAAGTTAGAGATATGCAGTTTCAGTTTACTGATCACCGACGTTATTAATGCTGACGCTCAGTGAACACCGATGACTTCAGTATCAATGCTCACTGGAACTGTGATATCACGGACATTGACGTTCACTGGAACATCGATGATCTTTACATCAGTGTTCCATGGAACAGTGGTATACTGATGCTTACTTTCATTGACTATAGTTTAACAAGAAATAAAATGCCATCTTTCGGATGGAGTATCATCATAGACAGGATGTTATATCATTGGATGAGAGCAAATCCGCTGAATAGTTTATCACATGTTTGTTTCACAACTGACTCTGTTCAATGCTAGTCTCTGTTAGCCAAGGAGGAAGGTATTCTTTGACTATTACTATGTGATATAAGTCGTTTTCTACCTAGTGCATGTATTCTATCTTTTATTCTTGTATTTTTTCGTATTAACTTCTCTCTTCGCTTCTACCTACTTTCATGTGAGATGATATGCTTTTCATGACAATTAAGAACTTCAGTAGTTTCAAAAATGAATCGAATCAAGATGCAGTAATTTATTCAGAATAACAATTGTCTTTTAACAACTGCTTTTTCATGAATAATGTCGATGAGTTTGTCAAATTAGTTATACCATTTATTGATGCATGGAGTAAAATATCAATGTATATATTTTTATTTTTATTTATTTATAGACCCTTACCGTCTCCGGTGTTGGGTGCCCAAGTCAACCCGAACGCTATTGGTACGCGTGTCGTCACTCTTGGTACGCGTATGGTACAACACGCCTCGTACGCGTACGAACATCACGCAAAATGCGCGTACCGAGCGTGACGAACACGCGTACCAAAAAGTGTAGTAACGCACTTTAGTAATTTTCCTATTGGTTCTTTAAATGAATTAGGTAGTATCGACCAATCCCTCTGTAGTGATACTAACTACTACACGATGCATTATTTTTTTTATTTCTTTTTTTATTTTATTTTATTGAAAGACTTTGCTCTCAATAGCAAAAAAAATATTTCTCACACACAAAAAAAGCAAAACATTGACTTAAAAATACACGAACGTGTTTTTACAAAAAAATACAACGAATTTAAAACATTAAACTGAATAACTGTCAGAAGAAATACAGCTTAATTTTATAAAAAACACCAAAATAAAATAATTATAAAAAAAATAAAATAATAATAAAAAAATCGCCTAAAAGTCAGTTTGAGAGACGCATCATTGTTTTCGTTTTGGATTATTCGCTCTTCGGTTTTTTATTAAATTATCCTTGAAATATCAGGAGAGACGAAATCTAAAAATTAATCTAAAAAAAAATATTTATTTCTATTAAAATTATGCTGCAAACCGCTAAATATATACATGAAAAATGACAAAGTACAACTTAAACAATAAGCTTTGTCTATTCTACCATTATCTGATTATCTAGCCTCTATACTGAGGACTCGTTAGGCGTACGCGTTGCGTACATCTCGACACGCGTTGTACACGTACGCACATGTGACGAGACGCGTACCAAGCGCACAAAGCGTGTCGTACGCGCATGGATAGCGTTCGGGTTGACTTGGGTACCCATGTCAGTAGGACACTACCGACACATGTGTCGACACAATGACACGATGGAGTTACACGTAACAACACGTGTCAACACAGTGAATTTTCTGTACGGCATGTATCGACANACACATACAAGCATGAATAAGTGGTGTACATTTAAAACGATCACGAGCTTCAACTTTTGCACCATTTTCAATTAAATATTTAACTATTTTAAAATAACCTTTTTGACATGCTAACATTAATGATGTTAATTTTCCTGACGATGTACTTGTTAATACATCAACATTAGCACCAAATTCAAGTAAAACTTTGACACATTCCTAAATAATTTATAACAAAAAAAAAAAAAAAATAGAATAGAATTTTCTATTAAAATTACGTATTCATACCAAATGATCATTAAGTACAGCTAAATGAAGTGGATAAAATCGTGATTTATTCATACGATTAATTGATGCAAGACCAAATTTTTGATGAACTACTTGATCTTCTGAATCATTCGATTCAGCTTTTTCTTTTGCTGTACGTAAAAGAATCTCAGCATTTATTGCTCGACCATTCATTACAGCAATATGTAAAGGAGAATTACCACCACGATCACCATCATTAAAATTAACTTGTCTTAAAGTGACAAAAAAAACAAATATTATGTTAACTTTTTTTTTTTTTGTTTAATTCTTACTTGGATAAAAGATATTCAAGTGGTTCTGGTCCTTCGCATGCAGCAGCAAAATGTATTGGTCGTCGTTCATATTTATCAAGAATATTATATTCGGGCATAATATTCAATAATTGTTTTAAATATTTTGAATTTGGATTAATGGCTGCGCAATGTATGGGTGTTAACTAAAATAAATTTTTCATTAAATAACAAAGCTCTTAACGCAATCTCTGTTGAATAAAAAATGTGAAACACAATTTTAATGCTCTTGCTAATCATAGAGAGATTGTTTTATTCCATCGATTTTGATACACATCTCTTCACTCTCCTTTTACTTAATTTTCCACAAATTCAATAAGGAAGTAGTTTAGATATAATAACGAGCCGTTATGGATGGATGTACGGTCTTTCATTTCATCGTATCTATACTTGGAGTCGGACCGACTGGCTGTTTAAATGATTTTTAGGGTACTAAAACTGATCCATTTTGCTTGTCTTTAACGGTTTCCATGATTTTCATGACCGCAAAATATGAACGTGAAAATGTGCAGCTGACAAATTTTCAATCGTCATCAAAATCTCAGCTTTAAATGTTGAGCTAATACTTTTTCACCGTACAATGAGAGCCTCGGATGATGCTGAATGATTATTTTATGTTCACAAAAAATGAGTCAGATATTAGAGGTTAATTTCGGTCTAGACTAAAGATTTTTGACCTCGAAATTTCGAGCTCACTTTTCTTGATTACTTTTAACGGACTATCATAAAATTCTAATAGTTAGTAGTTTTCATTTCATGCTTTCATTAAAAAATATCAGAAAAGATTCTGTTCTGTTATCAACATCTTACCAAAAATCTAGCATCATATAATTGTGAAAATAATTAAATATGAAGAATCTTTAGAATAGGAAGTTTTAATATAAAAACCTATCGATCTTTCTATCGAAAATAGTAGCCTTATACAAATTGAGATGCCTTGCAACTATATTAAATAATTATTTCAAATAAGAATAGATCAAACTTATCAATTGTAAAGGAATCATATCATTACTGAAAAAAGTCACTCAATTCATTGTATAAATGTTAGTTTCTGTGGATAACTAGATTAAATATTGTGAAATAAATCTTTGTTCATTCTTAATGTTAACACATATGAAACGTGCCAAACTAAAATCGAATTATTACTATTGGAAATTCCGAGAGTTACATGAATTTTACATTGTATGTCTTCGTAGAATAGCAGTAATAGACTGTTTCTCGAAAGAAATGATTGGTTAGTTTATATATTAAACGCATCAATTTTTTTCTCTGTTAAGCTAAGAACTTCAACTGAGCGGTTCAATTCAATCGAAAAAATTCAACTCGTTCCCAGGGAAAGGGGATTAGAATGTAGCTAAAGTGTCTGTCGTAGCCTATGATAAAAGAGAGACCTTGCTCAGGATGTCTGCCACATCCGTGCGATTCAAATCTCTAATGCTACATTCCTTATAGATTGTGTATTTCAAAAACAAATAAGACAAAACTCACATTAAAATTATCTCTTGCTTTTTTACCAACACTTGCTGCACGATTTATTGTTAAATCTTCATTATCAAAGAGCAAAACCTATTGAAAATATTAAAAGACCAATTGCTTTCTTTAAATTTTTGCAAACTATTTAAACAAACTTGATGATGGACATAATTAAATCCATAATAACTATTATCTTTTACTTCACCAATAATACTTGCAGCTAATTTTCGATGACCAGAACGAACAATATGAAAAACTTGTTCATAAACTCCAGCACGCTAAATATATTTCGTGAAGAAAAAAAATTTCAAATGATTAAAGAGAATATTTACGTCATGAGGAAATGCTTCGCAAAGTAAATCAAAGATTTTTCGCGAACAATTATTTTTTATTGCATATTCAATTATTTCACCACAATCACTTGTTTCAAGTGAGCTCATTTCATCCTTAAGATTAATGCTTCAATGATAGAATTACAAAAAAAAACGACAAATTTACTTTTTTCAATGCATTATTGCCTTCTTTAACACCTCGACCTGCCATGATTTGAGCAGTTCGAAAACCAAATGTATGAATATTTGCTCTAAATTAGTTGAAAATACTTTTTCCAAAAACAAAATTCGAGAGAATTTTATTAACCTTCCAGTGCTTTGTGTTGTCATTGAAACCGTTGGAAAAGGACATCGATCTTTTTTCGGTGTTTTTAAATCTTCGACTAAAATTTTAAGCATTTCAATATTGTCATTTTTAATTGCATAGTGAATAGCTGCTAAATCGTTATGAAGACTACGTTTTACATGTACCTAATTAACAAAAACAAAAAAACACAATATAAAATCTTTGTTTTTCTAATCATTGTATTGTTGTTGTTTTTTACCGAACAAACTCGATCAACATCATCAATTAAAGTTTTCAATAAATTTGAATCATTAATAAGTACAGCTCGAATAGCTAGTTTACTTTGAACCAATGAAGAAATAAAAGGTACAGATACACTAAATCAATAGAAATTGTTTATTTTTACATAATATTAATTTCAAAATAACACTCACTTATCTTCGAAAAATGGATCTTTTCGATAATTAGTTATTGCTAAATTTTCTTTCAATAAACGATTACTTTGTACTTTAAATAATTGTGCTTTTGATGTTGTCATAGGTTTTGCTGCTAGACGATTTTTAAATATTTAATTAAAAAATCTTTTTATAAAATACAAACCTGTTTTTTTAGCTGGTTTTTCACCTTGGGTTATTTCAGTAATATCTTTTGTTCGTCGTCGTTTTTTTATAGCTAATATAAAAAAAAATAAACAAATAAAATTTTTCTTAAATTCAATTAAGATCAGTGTTTTAGGCAGCATTACACCGAAAATCGAGCTGACATTCTCAAAGTTTGTGATTATCGTACCACGAAAGGTTGTCATGGTTGAGCGACTGCGTTCTTTCGACATGTGTATTAGTTGTAGGGAAGGTATTGAGCTATTGAATCTGTCGCTAAGCTGCACTAGATATGAGTAAGATGACTTCGGTGTGACCGAGATCACATCTTTTTTTGACTGAGATCAATACCAACATTTGTTCATCGGAAATCATATTTTTTATGATCATATAAGACTTGGGCAAAAAAAGTCATATTCTCACGAGTCATGTCTTCAAAACGTTTATGCAAAAATTCCTGAGTAAAGATCACTTCAATATTTGCTGTTGCAATTTCAATAGTAAAATTAATACTTTTTTTCCTTAAACAACAGAGTTGTCAAACACACAAACGCGTAGAATAAACGAAGTATTAGTGAATTTAAAAAACTATTGAATCTTCAAGAGGAAGAATATTTGAGATCATGCAGATCGTGCCGAATTCACTGGTACTGCCACAAAATAATGTCATATTCTTTGCTACTACATGTATAATTAAACGCAAACTCAGAACAAAATATTTTTTTGACCGAATCTAAAAATAATTAGTGTCGCTTATCATTAGGAAGCATCTCATTTACCGCAAGGCATCCGAAAGGTAGAGGTGTTCTTCTTCTTTCTATTGTACCATGTACTATGTATCTGCGCTCCACAAAATAAGTTTTTGGTCTTTCCGAAAGCAAAAATCTGAATATAACACTAATTAAGATAAAAACTTACGAGCAGCTTCACCACTTATTTTTCTTGCTCGTTTCTTGACTGGTTGTTTACGTAAATCATCCGGAGAAATTTTTCTTTTTTTTGCTTTTGTTATTGTTGTTGGTCTAATAGCTAAACTATCATCATCACTTGAATCGTCTTTAATTTGTTCCAATGTTTTCTTATTGTTTTCTTTTGTTAAATCCATTGGTTCATCAGATGAAACAGTTTCACCTTTAATTGATCTTTCTAATAAACGTTTTGTTTCAATAATATCTTGTTTCTTTAATGATATTGTTTTATCCGAATGACGAACAACATGTGTTATACCAGTTAATATAGTATTTGGATCAAGTGTATCTTCATAATCTAATTTTAAACGTGTATTTTCATCAATTTTTGTTTCATCACCATTTTCATCAGCTAATGAACACCAACGAATACGAATTTTTTTTGTATCATTAAAAACATCTTGTAAAACTTGACAAAGAAAAAATGCATCAGCAGGACTTCGACATGTTATAAATGTTTTATTTGTATATAAAAGTGTTCGCAAATCGTTTGATGATGATAATGATGATGATGATGACGAAGATGTTGTAGATATTAATAATGTTTCAAGTTTTTCATGGGCTGCTTTTTCTGATAATGATGTTGTATCATCATCGTCATCATCAAAATGACTTTGATCAAATGTAGTTGTATGAGCATGACGATCAATTTGAACAACCTGATAAAGAACAAATAAAACTTAATGAAACCATCGCACATTTAGTCAGATTAGTCGCACTCGTGATTTTTCGTTGTCTAATCAATATATTGAAATAGTTTTCTGTATTAAAGTACTGGTAAGAAAGAAAAACATTATTCTTATTTTTTCTTACAAAATAGTCATGTAAACTATAGAATTAATGGAATATGCTTTATTGCATTCAACTATGAAGATTGATCGATACACATAATGATCGAAAAACTTATAATGATAAAAGCAAAAGCTTTTTGTTAAATCAAGGTCATCAGGCGCAGATGAATAAATTAAACTCATACGAAAAAGCATATGTTTCTCTGAATATATAAACTAGAATTTCTTTTTTTAAAATGTTAAACCAACAGATTTCGTCAAGTTATATCAAAATTAATTCTGATAGAAAACTTCAACCAGAAAAAAAACAACATTTTAATGATAGTATATGTCTGCGTCATTTATTTACGCAGTCAAAATTAACGTTTCATGTAACAAGAATAGCTACACGTTTATTGCTAAATACTACAGTTTGCTTGAAATGGCTGATTAAGTAGTAATAAGTGAACTATTTCAAAGGTATGTTTCACTGATACTGTAATATATGTATTAACAACTTCTTGTGCATTGACATTGAACAATCATTTTCAAAAGTATCTTTGTGGACAAGCGACGTAACATTATAAATTTTTAAATTATTAAATTCCAAAAGAAAACAGCTATTATTCTAATATAAGAAATACATAAAGTAAAACATTCTTAATCTTTTTTGCGTTGGAAAATAACTTAAAAATTGAACACCATCATATATTTATGTATGAAGCATGTAAAATTTACAGAGAAATAAATATTGATAAAAAATACTAATCAAAAAGTATAAACTTAAAGATTCTTTCTTTTCTTTTATTAAAGCTTGCTAAGACAAACTAAATTTCAATTGAAAACACTGACAAACTCTATGACTTCCTAAATTTAACTAGATTTCAATTAAAGATAACATAGATTAATATATCAGTACTTTTCAATTTTTTTTATTTTTAAACGCATATTTATTTAAGAGAAATGAAAATCGTTTGGAATAAGACGAACGAATAGATAAAAAAGATTACGTAGTTTTAGTTATCCGTTGTTGAATTTAAAAACCTTTTTTTTTTGGCTTCCATTTTGAAAAACTTGAACCGATCTCATCTCTATTTTATCCTATAAAAGACTGAGATTGACTTCAAAAGTATCTAAATAGATATTCTTTTTTTTATTTAACATCCAATTCAAGTCTTTATTAAAAAAGCTTTTGCTATACGACTCTAAATTTCTTGACTATGATTCATTTAGACTAATTTTAGCTTTCCCGAAAAAATTTAGGAAAAGAAAATTCCCAAGTGATAATTGAGTTTCGAGCTAATAATTCTCCTGCCACGAAGGATTTGATGAAAACAGAAAAATTCGTCAAGGACTTATGCTGCCAGCCATAGTCATTTTACTGGAACTTCACCTTCTATCAGGATTAATAGAGAAAAAAAAAAAGAATCATAATATTTTGACTTGAAATTTTACCCATATATATAAGGTCTTATGACATTTTGCATATCCTTAAGGCTTCAACTCGAATAGATAAACGCATCATAAGATACTGCATTTACAAAAAGGGCATCTACTCTATCGAAAATGTAAGAAAATCATATTTGTTCGATAATTCAATGTCTCCTAGTAGGCGCATTCGTTCGAGCTAAAGCTTCTAGAACATACAAAGTATTATTACATCTATGCATGAGTTACATTGTAGATCAAAATATTATGATTCGATTTTTTCTCTATATATCATGATACAAACTGAAATTACAGTAAAACGCCTATAACTCGGCAAGGAATACTTAACAGCATAAGTCCTCTTATAAGTTTTCTTGTCTCATTGTGATCTTTTTTTTTGGTAGGAAAAGTATTTCGATTATCACTTGGGAATATTTCCTCATTAGCCTTAACTTCAACAATTAATTGATCTAACTCACATTCCAATAACTTCCATTTAAACCTGTATTAACAGTTTTCTTTCGTAGTTTTCCACTTGTATGTGTTGTTTTTGGTCGACTTTGTCTCTAAAATAAAAATTCAATCTTTCTTTTTTTTCCAGTATTCTTTTGTATATTTTTTTTCTGCTTTTTACACGCTTAATATCAGTTGATTTTTTCTTTCGATTCTTTTTAACTAAAGCTTTAACTGGTTCTTTTACATCTTTTTCTTCTGTTGAAGAATGTTCATCATTTTCAGCTACCTAAAATTAAATCAAACAGAAAAAGAAAAAAAATGTTTGTTTTTCATTCCTGTAAAGAGCAATTAAATTACATCAACAATTTTTAATTTTGATTTTTTGCCTCCCACCAAATCTTTTTCGTCATCTGAAGAATCACTTGTGTCCATAATCATTCTATGATATAATTCATATTTTAATGTATAGATACATTTTTTTTGACATTCAAAACAAAAAAAAAAAGAAACTCACGGTAGAGTTTATGTAAATTGTTAGACAAGCACAATAGTTTAAATAGCTAACAACATGAGGAATGTAGATATAAATACGATCAAAACACAGAACAGAACGATAAAAAGTAATTTCACAGGTGTAGTGAAATTCTTTTTCTTACCACAATGATTTTATAAATAGTAAACTCGAGTAACACATGAAACAATTTTTTTTTTTCATTGGATGAAATAAATCATATAAACGCAAATAAATATAACGATAGATGGCAATATTTTACAATATGAATTACACTGAAGACAAATGCAGATAATATTGACTAAGAGAAGGAAGAAGAAAGTTGATTTTCGATAGGTTTAAGGAAAATATCCAACTACTAATCGCCGATTGAAGAGATATATTGTTCATAGGTAGGACTCAATGAAACGAGTAAAAAGCTTGAAATGACTTTTCCGTCGTAGACCTTTCTTATATAGTTGTGATGACCGTTTGATTAGATTTTTCAACATATGGCTAAGTACTCTTGGAAAAATCAAAAAGAAGAAATTCTCATCTGAATTTTGCCTATAAATAGGTCTGTTGATTCTTGAAGTATCCTGAAAGTTTCAGTCAGAGCAGACGGTTCCTTCTCGACATTTTGAATCAGCAGTGTCACATATCCAAGATTTTGGAGATGCCACCACATCTCCTGCGGGAGATGCCGCATCTCGCGCGAGAGATGCGAGTGTGGGTGTGGGGGATGCGTCTCTCTAAAGGAGATCTTACCTCTCCAGTGGTGAATGACCTCATCTCCCGAGTGTGGGTGCCGCGTCTCCCGCTGGAGATGCGGTGGCATCTCCAAAATCTTGGATATGTGACACTACTCTTTTGAATACTGAAGAAAACTTTGCTTTGTGACTTTTTTGTGGCATATGATTGCGTTGCAGGATATTCAATACCTCGAGAAGAAACCATTCGGTTTGAGTGAAACTTTTAGAACATACTCAAAATCAAGGGAGCTATTTATAGACAGAAATTCAGATGAAAATTCTTTCTTTTTGATTTTTCTATGAGTATTTTGTCATAAGCTAAAAATCTGATAAAATGGTCATAATTCCATAAGGAAGGTGTATGGAGAGTAGAAACCGACGAATTAGTCCCGGACTCTTTCAGATTCGAGTCCCAAAACTTTGGAACCAACGAACTCTAATGTGTAGAAATCCTTTCAAGCTTTTTCTGGTCTCAATGAGCCCTATTTATAAGCACAATATCACTTCGATCGACGATCAACAGTTGAATATGTTCTCGCCTTAGTAAATTTGATATACTTTTTAGTTTCTTAAGAAGGTTTAGATAAGAGATATTTTTGTAATCGCTAATCCATTCTTCCTATTGAAAATAGGTTAATGTATTCTAAATAAAATCTAAAGTTAGTAGCGTAATCAACGGTGAACATCGGCCTCCTACCAACAGTCTTGGCTCTACCAGCTGGAAAAGGAAAAAGCTAATAGTTACCATCATTTACATTGTCTCGGATGAATGTTTTGAAAAATCCTAGAGCACTAACCTAACACCCACAATTTCCTAGTTACGCTACATATCGGACAGTTCAAAATCATTGCACATGTAGAACGATATACATTTGTTTTCATATGAACTGATGAATATTTTCTCGATTTTAAATGATCCGATATTTTTTTTTAAATAAACTGGACCGATGAAAATATAGACCAACAACAATAAAAACTTGAGAATAGACATATCAATTGTCGAACAGAAGACACACATATCTAATTGATTCGAATACGTATTTAAATTAGTTTGCTATAAGACAAACGACTTGTCATCTATGTGTTAAATAGACTAGTACATTTCCCATCGTGCTCATTCAATACAAACAGAAGAAGAGAAAGAAAATAATGATTCTTCCCTTCTCTTTTTTTTTCGTTGTATTCAACCAATCGACATTATCTCATTTCACCGTTTTCTTCTTATTAAATATTGATATTCTCATGCTTTTCATTTGCTCTCTCTTAAAACTTTGCAATATTCACAAGATATCATTTATTTTATCAATTTAATACAATGTTTTTCAAATAATAAAAGAAAATTTTACAATGAAATTATCCGTTATATGTTTCTTCATATTAATCAATTCAAGCAAACAATGGCTGTAAGTGACATTGTCTATTTTGATATCTTTATTCTCATCAGTTAGAGATGAATAAAACACTTCATTAAATCATAAATTGAATTCATCTTATTAGAGTATGAACAAAATAGAATCATTTTAACACGAATAATTTTCTCGATTATTTTCCCCCTTAAGCATATATAAAAGCGGAACTTACTGTGTGCAACCATTAAATTGATCCAATTAATACAAAATGACTACTGGAACATTGTTTCAGTTTCATTGTGGTTTCAATATTCGACTTGTTTACGGAAAAAAAATTTGATTATAATTTGCATCTTACTAATTACATATATATTAAAAAGTTAAAATCAAAGTAACATTGAACTTGATATTATAAGTACAGAATAAGACTAGAACATGCATAATGATTATGATTGTTTTGTCAAGAACTTTTGACGTTAACAGAACTAACTAGCAACATATATGTGCTGGCAATTTGGACAATAGTCGATTGTTATAGTTAGACAGTAAAATTTCAAAATGATGATTTTCATGTGTGACTTTACTATAGCATTCATACTGTTTTTGGATAGAATGAAACGTTGAGTAGTAAAATAGGCTATTCGATTTTAGTCGAAATATTCGTATGACTTAAATGATTCATATTTGTTATTTATTGATTGAAATGTAATCATTTTTGAATTTTAACCCATTAAAGTTATGATGAATGAAAAATGTTTCATTCCTAAAAGGGATCAATTTACTCTGATCGACTTAAAATTTTAGCTTCAAAATTAAGAAATAATCATATCAAAGGAAATAGTTTACTCATTTTTATCATGCACCGAATTAAGTTCATTGAACACACATGAAGAAATAAGATCAATGATCATTCAGTGCATTCAATAATTTTTTTCTTTTTATTTGCTTTTGAACTAAATATTTATTGCTCATAAAATGTAAACTAAGACGAAATATAAACATCATGGTAGATTATTAATCAGACTCGTAGAAAAAGTTCAAACACAAGTAAGATATTGTTTATCAGTTATCTTTCAAATATATACATACCGCATTCTTTTCAAAAACAAATGTATCTATACATTTGTTTCTTTTGATTATTTATTGACAGGCAAAAGCGATTAGATGTATGTTTGAGTGCTTATGATATGCTATTGGTTTCAAAGAATCATTTATATAAATTGAATGGCTTAGACGGTTTAATCCTTCGCTGATTACATAAAAAATATATTCCAACTAACGTTTTTCATGTGTGAGGATTTACTTTCGATTGATTATTTGAAAGAAGAGAGGATATGGATGCGAGTCAGAGTTTGGGTGTGGATCTTTTTTCTACATACACAATCTACATTCTAAATGTCGTAATGATGACTCATTTCTCTTCTTTCGAATAATCAACGGAATGTAAATCATAACATTATGTTTTTCGAAGAAAAATATAATAAGTGGAAGTTTTAAGCCGAAGTTTGGTGGCTCCAACTCTTCATAACAATGGGAGGAAGCGGATCAAGGCCAATTATCATTAAGTACGTTTCCATGGTAACCGGGGATAACAGGCGTTAGACTCCTTTATCCGAATTTCTTGGAAATGGCAAAAAGTGTTGAATGACATTAACAAACAGACTTCAACTAACCTAGAACATTGCAAAGTCTTCTTAGAAATCTGAATGACTAGAATGTGATTGTGAATATTCAAAATAGTGCATTTTTTTTTATTTTTGCGCATAAGCCTCTTATTATATATCAGGTAGTAATCAGAATATAGATTCTGTGTAATAGATTAATTAAATCGTCGAATTGTTTTAGATCAATTATTCAATTGTCCAATGTATCATTTGTAAGACGAGATCTTTGTCATATTAAACATGGTCTTAATCATCGACAAATTCGTTTTTGTCAACGAAATGAACATATTATGCCTTTTATACGTTCCGGTACTAATTTAGCAGTAGAACAATGCCAAATACAATTTAAAAATCGTCATTGGAATTGTACATTGTTTAAAGACAATGATCTAATTGGAAATATTCTTGATTCCGGTTATTTATTTATTTCTTTTTTTCTTTTTAATAGTATAAGAATATATTTTATTTTTTCATTGAATAGGAACAAAAGAATCAGCCTATATTCATGCGTTAACATCGGCTGGTATTGTATATGCAATAACAAAAGCGTGTAGTAATGGACGACTTGATTTTTGTGGATGCGATATGACAATAAAAGATAAATATCGAAATGAATCGATTCGATGGACTGGTTGTTCAGATAATGTTTTATTTGCAACAGAGATTGCAAGAAAATTTGTTAATTTTCGAGAGTATGAAACAAAAACTCGAACAAGTCTATTGAATATACATAACAATCAAGTTGGAATTCGAGTAAAGTTTTACATTATATTTTGATGAATAAAAAAAAAAATTGTTTTTTTTCTAGACAATTCTTTCATCAGTTGATTATCAATGTAAATGTTATGGTGTATCTGGTTCTTGTGAATTAAAATCATGTTGGCGTTCACTTCGTTCATTTACATATATTGCTAATCAATTAAAAGAATTCTATGATAATTCAATAGAAGTATATTTAGAACGAAGTATAATCGATAAAAAGTTACAATTTATACCTAAAAATATTCCATTTGAAAAAGAAAAACAATCAATATCAATAACTTTTAAAAATAATTTGATTTTTCTAAATTCAAGTCCGAATTATTGTGAATTAAATTTATCCATTGGATCATTAGGTACAATAGGACGTATTTGTAATCGAAATTCACGTGCTATTGATGGATGTGATTTACTTTGTTGTAATCGAGGTTATCAATCTCAAATAGTGACTATACGTAATCAATGTAATTGTCGTTTTCAATGGTGTTGTTATGTGCAATGTCAAAGTTGTGTTATAACTCAAGAGATTAGTCGTTGTTTATAGACGAATTCTCGTTTTTTTTTTGTGTTTTTGGTTTTTCATAGAGTGTTGAAATAAATTTTGGTTTTTGTTTCTTTTATACATAGTCACGCTGTAATAATATCATATAAATAAGGAATATTAGTAAGGAGTGAAAAAAGATTTTGGACAATTATTTATAAGAAATATATAAACTATGGAATACATAATGAAAAGAAATGAACGAAGTAAGAAACTTGAAAGAATATTGTAAGTAATGAATATTAAACTATCCTGTACTCATTTGTGTTACCTATGATTAGTATTTTTGTGGTTTTTATCTCTTAAGCTTTGTGCATAATACAGAGTTTTTATCAGTTGGGTATAAGAGATACAAGTAATGCTCGTTTTTATGACTTGCTTGACCCTCAACTGAACGATTAACTTTATCTGTATAATTTACTGCTTTACAAGTCCAATCAACACTAATGTTAAATGTATGCATGTAGTCAGATATGTGTGAATGTGAGTCTGGTTATTGATATGTGTTTCGATGTTGGTACGGAAGCGGACGTGAGTATCTGTGTAGTTCTTCTCTTCATCTATTCAATAGGTGACATTTAAACCCACACGAACTCACCACCGCGCTCACATATGATATCAATATACGATACCCACGTTCTCATTTGATGTCATATGACCCTAAATGCCAGCAGCTCTTAAGTGTATACATGATGACTGGGTTGTAAAATTTGTAGAAAATTTTGATGGCAGTTTAAACAAGTTGATACTTCTAATCCATACGAAGGATACATCTAATAATCGAATGATTAATTGATATAAAAAAAGTCGATCGTCACGTCTTCCATTAAGCATCGACTCATGTTTAAACTTTGAGACGATAGGTAACATTGAATACTTTTCGAAAGGCACGAATCAAATCTTGAAACAAAACTTATTTAGTGGAAATATAAAATATATTATCATATTTAAGAACTCAAAAATTAGATATAGTAATATATGTATATCTCTACTCAGAAGACGTGGAGTATGTGGATGTGAGTGTGCGAAGAGCAGACCACAGCCACAGCTACAACCACCACACCCAATCCACAGAAGAATGGCTCTGAACTTTCTCATCAACATCATATATTGTTTTAGCTGTATGTTATTTACAATTCTTTTTCCATTCTAGTGAACATCCCAGCAATATATTTGATCTGCTTCATATGTCAATCAACAACTTTCTTTGACTACTGTTCAACTCTATAAAGTGTGATTCTTAAAAACATCTGATTGCCAGGCTTTATTGTTCTTAATATTGAGTGGATATTTGAGTGAACGAAAATAATATGTGGGTTTTTAAATATTATTGACGCATTGTGCTTTCGTTACATTATAGAGACAAGGCGCAACAATCAAGTTCAATGTGAACTTACATTCAAGAGTTTCTTTCTCATATAATCACACTGAAAATAATCTTTGTGTTAGTTTTGAGACGAAAGATTTTATCTTTAATTTTATATGTTCTATTTAACTGAAAAGAGTTGAATAGACTTTAATATAAAGAGAGAAAGCTTGTTAGCACAGTCTCCTTGGGGCTGAAATGTGGAATTCACATGTGTTGTTTAGTCTCATAATACTAATACAAAATATGTAAAGTGAAAAATATTTCGCTGAATATAGTTGTTTTTCAATGATAATTGATCGCTAGAAAAACAGTCTCTCTTATTTATGCTGTGTTTCAAACTAAGTTTTTTTTTTCTATTTTTACTGACACTCTATGTTTTGCTTGTCTTATTGATATTCTCATGTTATTTTTCATTTTAGTATTTCGCTTTTCTGAATTTAACATTATTATTATTCTAACGTTGACTTAAGTGACAAATAAGTATGCTCTACATATTTAACGGGTGTACCATCAATAATTACCCTCTTAGTATTTTTAAGATTTCTCTTCAATTATCCGATTGATTAAAATACTTTTCTTTGTCAAAAGATAGTGCTTTAAATTCTCTACAAAGCCATCTATAACTAGATCCTAAAACTGTTTTAAATATAGTTGAAAAAAAGATGAAAAATAAAGACATACAAAAAGCTGTAAAAAGTAACGGGTTGGACATAATGAACGATAGCGCTTTGCATCCCATTTTTTCATCACTTACTTCGTTGTATTAGAAAAACAAATATACCAAAAGATGCAGCATGAAAAGCTCTACAATTTACATTAGATCGTCGATTTTATAGCTGCACTTTTTGTTTTCAAACTAATCAAAGTTTTGAGCGATCAAATTTCGACCGTATGAAAATGAGTACAGGATGACTTCGTTTTTTCTTATGTCCTCTTTTTATAGTTTGTTCTTTGTAAATTGTTGAGTTTTTCACGCTGCATTTTTTGGCACATTTTGTTTTTTAATAGGACGAAGTAATGAAAACATTAGATGCAAAGCGCCACCATTCATTACGTCCAACCCGTTACTTTTTACAGCTTTTTGTATGTCTTTATTTTTCATTTTTTTTCAAATATATCTACAACAGTTTTAGGATCTAGTTATATATGGTTTTGTAGAGAATTTCAAGTGCTATCTTTTGATAAATAAAAGTATGTCTTAATCAATCAGATAATTGAAGAGAAATCTTAATAATACTAAGAGGATAATTATTTATGGTACACCCGTTATTATATCTACAACAGATCTCAACGCACTATTATATATTTCGATAAGTTCACAAATACTGATATTGATTGTTCCTGAAATTCATGAGTTGATCAATGTACACTTTTTATGTTGATCATATAAAGACTGACAAATCAACGCCTGAATATCCATCATTCCTGACATCTGCAACATAAATTTTTATATGCACAATAATCAAAAACTGCATTATTTCGAACATTCACAAACACATTCCAGTCATTCAACGTTCGAGGAAGACTTTGAAACATTCTAGAACAGTCTAAGCCTGTTTGATAATGTCGTTCAGTGCTTTTTTGCATTGCTAAAGAACTTTAAGAAAGGAGTCTGACGTTTGTTGTCCTCAGTTGCTAGGGACTGTGATTCGAGTAGAGCAAAAAAAGAAAAACCACAAAACTTCGACTTAAAACTTGTCCTATTTTCTTCGAAAATATACGTGAAATCCAAAATAATTTATTCTACTAGTACCATGAATTGTTTTTGATTCAGGTTGTTGGAAAAAGAAAAGAAGAAATGAATTAATCTGATATTGCTTAAATTCTGAATTTCAAAAATTTCTATTAATTGTTTTTTTCTAATAAAAGTCAAAGAAGAAGAAAAAAAAATAGAAAAAAGACTCGATTAAATTCTTTGATAAGTTTGATTTGATAATAAATAACGTTTTGATATTGGTTTTTGTAATGTTTCGATATATTTTCCTTTTGACATTTTTTTATAACCAGCTTTTCTTATATTTATTGAATGACGTTTTATTTTCTTTGATTTTCTTCTTATATGAATTGTCGATAAATCGCTCATTTCAATAGGAGCATCACGAAAACCAAGTAAGAGTACCGAATTTTCAAATAATTCTGATACAATACGTGAAATTTTATTTCGTCGATAACGTTTTGTTTGTTTTTTTCTCGTTAAGTAAGTATGAATGTCACTTGCAATAATAAGACAAGCAATAGAAATAATCACTAAAATCGCTACACTAGCAAACGATTTACTTGCAACTTGTAATAGAATCATTTGCACATTTTTTTCTTCACATTGATTTCCATAAAATCCATCAAAACACGAACATCTATATGAATTAATATCATCTAGACACATACCACGATTAGAACACGTTATATTTATACAATCATCAATATTATCTTCACAATGATCACCTTCAAAACCTTGTGGACATGAACATTTTTCTTTTGATTTGGCATTTAAATCAGCAATCTCAATTAAATTTCCACCATTTATACAATAACCAAAAGGATATTTTAAATATTGACAATGTTCACCTGATATGTGTAATGGACAAATACATTCATAATGAATTTCTGTTGTGTCTGTATGAGAAAAATATTTATTATCGTAATCTGGTATAAGAGATTGACAAATACCACCATTTAAACATGGATTTTCATTTTGACATATATCAAAAAAGAATCTTAACGGTTGATCAAGGTCACATGATTGTTTAAGCATATGTAATCGAGTAAAAACTGGTCCTATATGAATTGGTGTTCGATTACCATAACGAACAGTTCCTTTAATAAAATAATAAAGACAAAATTTTTATAATTTAATGCTGACATGACTATCTGAGGTTCGCGTAGACTCTAACCATTCTCATCACACTATTACAAATATACAGCATTAAATGAACCTACTGCTCTTGTAGATATGCTGACAATATCTGCCGGTCATGTACACCTATTATTGATGTGAGTAGATCAAACTCGAAGTGTATAGGAGTTCCTGTTGACTAATTGGGATTCGTCGGAACTGCAGTAAGATTTATTGTTATATGATGCATTCATAACAAGTAATAGAATCATGACCCTTTTAGGTATGCGTTGAAGACAAGTACGAGGGAAGGTTTCCAAGTAACAAATCGTTTTAAGTTGGGACTATATTCAATTGATAGGGACTACCTTTGCTGCTGAGATATCAAGTTTTTAGTAGATTTTTTTGCAGACACCAGTGTTCAAGTAAAACCATACTTTTGAATTGTGACTTGAGGCTTTGCTCACAGGAAGGTCTTAGTCAGACTAGCTTGTACAAATAATTTCACAACTATCTGACAAACCATGTATATTTTGAAAAGTTCTTATCTTAGAGAGACTTTGTTGAAAAATTCTGAATTTTTTTCTACAAGCTAGTCTAAACGAAGCTATTATGTGGGCAAAGTATCAGATCAAAATTCAAAAGTATAATTTTGCTGGAAAACTGGAACCTTACAGGAAAATCCTACTAAAAATTCGATATCTCAGCAATACAGATCCAACAATTTGAATTACTCTAGAGTATTCACCTACTATCTAGGCTCTATAAATAGAATACAGTCTGAACTTAAAGGTGATTTCACACTTGGGGTTCTTCACTGGTTAGCCTAGTGCATTGATGATAACTTCAATCAATCATATGTAAGTGTTCTTCTTGTATAGAACAATTCAAAGTATATGTGAATATTCAACAGTGATTCAGGGTTTCGAACGCCTCAAAAATAGAGAATGATAAGATGGTGAAAAAGACTAGGTAAATATAGTTCAGACAAGCTGCTTCTCTGTTTGTTTTTCCTATTGTCAAGTCTTCCTTCACGTGTCCATGATGAACTAGTAACAACTTTGTTTGTTATATTTATTTTATTAATGAGAGTTTGTATAGTAAACTCCACTTTGGTTGAAGGTAAAAATGTCGAAAAAAACTTTATAGAAGTAAAAAGTTAATTTCTAAAAGAAAGACTGCTTTGAAAGGTGTCGGATAAAGATTTTATTATTGCACGATCATTATCAGCTTATAAGGTGTAGGTGTGAACCACCTAAATATATAGGCTTCAATCAATTTTATGAAAAACTTGTACAGAATCATATACTTCAATCATCTTCAGATGCATCAAAGCAGAAGAACACATGAGCAATATCATCACAAAGTCAAATAAGCGCGTTGTATAATCGATATAAAAATTATCTCATTACAGTATCTAAGCTCCACAATGTTTTATCTTTTATAAATTTATGTTTGTACAATAATAACATTATTTGAGATCCATAAACTAATAATTGAAATTATTTATCTTTTATTTTATTCGAATTTAGCTGCTTGGTTTTTTAAATTCCTGAACGACAAAAATATCCAGAAGTCTCCACCTCAATTTTCGACTTTATATTTCTGACCAAAGTTGGAACAATCATTCGCACGGACCTCAGATGAATAACAAGTGATAGTCCTAAAGATGATGATGTTAAGATTAACAAAAATAATTTGTCTTACCAGTTTTTGAAAGATTTAAATTTATTTCTAAATTATTTTCATTTGTACAAAATTGACTGTCGAAATAAATTTCAGCTGTTTCGGAATCAATTTGATGAACATGCATATTCATATTATCTAACTTTGTTAATTTTAATTCAAATCGATCAGTCTTGACATAACCAATAACCACATCAGATAATGATTGATTTGTTCCATTATTTGTTTGGTTCATTGCTAATGAAAATTGTTTTACTTGAATTTTATCAACTTGTAAATTAACTGGTGAACCAATAATATTTGTTGATAAACGATTTGCTTCAACATTTGTAATTGTTAAATTTGTTCTTGTTGTATGAAGATTTGATGAATGAGAAGAAGCTGGTAATGCTATATTAAAAACAATACTTTCATTTGTATTTAATGAAAGATTCCATGATGATGGTGGTAGATCAAGTAAATTAAAATAAATCAATTTTTCAATGGAAGAATTAGTTGTATTATTAAATAATTTATTAAATAATTCGTTGGATAAAAGTGTATTTGATGAATTTATGCTTATTGATGGTTTAATTATAATCATTTGTTGTTGTTGAAGAGATGTCAAATTTGAATGGTCAATAAAAAATGGAGAAAAAGTTAAAAATTTATGATTTATGGTGGACGTTCGAACTAAAGAGGTGTCTGCATTAATAGTTGATGTTTGAAGTTTCCAACGTGTTATTTTGCGTTTACGAGTTCTATGCACATATTTTGGTTTTGTAGAAGTAGTGGTCGATGTTGTTGATAATTCACTAGTTTGTCTTCTATTCGGACGACTAGATCGTGCTGGTGGATAAGTTACAACAAGAGTAGAATGTTCAGTTTCGGAATTATACACATCAAGAAGAATATTTGATGTTATTTCTGATGAAAATTGAGTCGACGTATATTTTTCGGAATATTCATCAGTAATTGCAAGATTCTCTTCATTATTCGTAGTTTTTAATCGAAGAGTTGAATACTCATTGGTTTGGACTGTGTTAGTGGAATCCAGATTGATACTAGTAATCATAGTAGTTGAAAGCGTTGTATAATCGATCGTACTTGATTCTAAAAAAGATATTGTAGACGTAAGTGACTCGTCGTAGAAAATGCTTGATAATTTTGATGTGATTTGATCATCAGTTGTTGTGGGTAATGGAGAGGAAGTAGTTGATGTATAACTTGGAGAAGACGATTCGGCAGCGAGAATAGTAATGACACTTTTCTCAGTAATATCTGACGTTATAGTTGAATCAGTCGTTTGTAGTATATTAATAGATGACGATGGCAACATAGTAGGAGGTACAGATATTGTCGTAGTTGTTGCTAAAAAGTATTTTGACGATGATAATCGATTGAATTTTGTTGATATCGTACTTGTATGTGAAAGTGAAGGGTGAAGTGATGATGATAATTGAGAATCGATTGTGAGAATAGGGAGTGTGCTGGATACAACAAACGGTGATGGTGAGTGTAAAGCAGTAGATATATTAGCGTTATTGAATATTGATGAAGAATGTATTTGATTAATTTCATTTTCCATTTCTTTATTGATGAAATCGGTGACTGTCATGAAAAATGTTGAATTTTCTGTATTTATTATCGATTGATGTGTGACTACTAGAAATTCATCATTAAGACCATCGTTGATATTGTTGTTGATATTTACAGTACTGGTCAAATAAGATTGATTTTCAAGTAAGGTAGTGTCGAGAAGAATAGTCGAGATGATTACATCATCATTAGTCATTGACGAAGATGGATGAATTTGATTCTCATTAATATCCGGCACTGATTGATCAGATGGAGTTGAGAGTAATACGAAATTTGACGAGGCATGAGAAATACTAATGCTTGAGAAATATTCAGATTTTAACAGTGTAGTATTATCGTGGATTACTGTTGATGGAAGTTGTGTTGGCTCTTTATTATCAGAATTCGAAAAATTTTCATCTGACTGATGAATTGGGTTATATTCCGTCACAAAAGATTCTTTTTTGATAGTTAGTGGCTCGTACGAAGAAATTGTAGATGATATAAGATTTATATTAAAAGCATCTTCAACCAATCGATCAGTCGGATCATTAGTTTTGTCAAAAGATAAATCAACTTGTGAAGATTTTTTATCTGATAAAAATTTAGATTGTGTCATATCAAATGAATTTGCTATTGGAGTTGTTTCTAGCAATGTGGTAGTTGACATAGACGAGTGTAAATTTTCAATATAATCTTTATTTGATAATGACGATAAAAAAGTTGATTTTTCTTCATTAATTTCCAAATTTTCTTGCATATTTTTCTTATCAGGATCTTTGTCTTTATGGTTTGTTGTTAGTTGTGTAATTAATGAGAATAAGAAATTCGTTGTTGAAAACTTAGAATATTCATTAAATGTATCAGTAGATACAGTTATATTGCTAATAGAAGTAGTGTAGTCATCAGAAACTTTATCTATATTATCATGAATAACGTTTGATGTTGTGAATGAATTAGTAGAAATTAAGTCCTTAGTGTTAGATTCTAACATTTCTAAAGGATTCATCGTGCTATTCATGTATTTCGAGAATATATTTGAACTGAATGATGATTGTAAATCGTAATCAAGTAAAACTGTTTTTGTAAGGTCAGTTGAATTGTTAATATATTGCATATCTAGGTTCGAATTTGATAATAATTTTTGCGTTACATTAGTTTGAAGTAAGATATCATCATCAAGTGATAGATTTCTTTTATCTTGAAAATTTGATATCACTGTATTATTAAATATTAATAACTCTGAAGAATTTATTGTAGTGTTAACATAATTTGAAAAAGTATTTAAATTAAATGATGACTGTGTTGTTAAATGAACTTCATTCGGTAGTGAACTATTATCAAAGCGTAGGTTATCATCAGATGAATTATATTGAAATTCATCTGATAAAATAGATGTTAAGTTTTCTGCTGAATGACTGTTCGTATTCAAAATAATTTTATCAGTTGATGAAGTTTCTTCTTTGATATTACTAGATGTCGATATCTCAGATGTAGAAGAGAAACGAGTATATATTTGTGTAGTATCTGTTGTTATCGATGATAATAATTTCCATACTGAAGAATATTTTCGTTCGCTAATATTATCAGTGTTAGTATCATGCAAATCCAACGCTGTGTTCATATTGACAACTATAGATGATAAGGGAAGGTCAGTGAAGAACAGTGCAGTTATTTGTGAAAGATAATATCAAAAGCAAGAGAAAACATATAGAATTGTTTTTTTTGGCCTACCTGGATGTCGAATAGTAACAACTGGTTTGTCGGGATCTAAGAAAAAGAAAACATTGAGCTATTTTCAAGAGAAAACAAAAATAATTAATGTACCTCTAAACGAAAGAAAATTCAACATCCACATGGATGGAATCTTCTCAGAATTTTGTTTAACAGTAGCATAAACATATGTAGTTGAATTAAGTCTTTCAATTGTTATTGGTAAATAGGATGTTTTTGACAATACACTGCGTATCGTTGTATATTGTTGAACAGACATTATGAATATCATTAATTTTGTTGCTATAAATCTAATATACAATACTGATAATTTACAAATCAGAATTAAGATGACAGATCATCACCTTTTGCTTGAAAAATATGTTATTTTTTTCAGAAAAAGCGAGAAATATTTTTTCACTTTTTCTCTATTTATGCAATCATCATGGTTGAATGACTACGTTATTCGACATGTATCCACAATGAACTGTATGCAAACATCGGTATCGTCAGCCATGGATTTGTCTTGGACAAATCACTAATGGCTGTTTATATCGGATCACCCGTTCGATAGCATGCTGACTACGTTGTGACATACACGTGTTCTTGTAGTTAGTATGTAGTTAGTCAATGTGTACAGATAGCTTAAGCGACTAAGTGCAAGAATTTTGTGTCAGATCGATCTTCTATTCCGAGCTACAACTAATATTAGTTGTAAGGAAGATATCTGGTTAATGAATCTGCCACTAGACAGTATTCCATGCCATAAGACAGGGATATTCTTCCTTCTTGTTTATGTTTTTTGTTCATGTAACTCAGAACTTTCTGCGGACCTTCGTGTTATATATATACTTTTTTTTGTTGACTTGAAAGAATATATCAAGATGCAGGATATGACATAGTGATATGATCTGCCAAACAATAAAAAAATGAAATATATAATACGAAGGCTCACAGAGAATTTTGAGTTACCACAAGAGCTATTTTCCATCCTTGTTTGTTGATTATCTGATGAAAGTTTCATGGTATAGGCCTGAAAATTGTACTATAACCTCTCCACTAGAGTCCCAACATATTCTGAATATTTCATGCGATTTGTATGTACTTAGAGCAAAATTGTTTTTCTCTTGAACGAAAGAAAAGAGGTGATTGTAAACTTACAGATGATTACATTCGTCTGCCATTAAGCCAAATGGAGCCTTAATTGCATTACTTTTAATTATTTTTCCATATCGTATACGAAAGTCTTGTGTTATACGTAATTCATGAATCGTATGTTCTTGTTTATTAGCATAATAAACTATACCCGATGGAGTTACAACAATATTTCCTTCATTTAATGTATCATTTAGAATAACTGGTTCATGAATTAATATACCAGTATATGTATTAAATATTGAATAAATAAGACCAATATCTGTTGATATAAATAATATTGATTTTTCTGTTTCAGCATGATTACGTTTTATAGCAAAACCATTTATATGCATATCATTTTTATTAGAATGTATTAGTAATGTTTTAATACAATTTTTATCTTCAAAATTTAAATGAAGTTTATTAAAAGTCACTTCACAAACACGTAATGATATAATACTTGATTCTAAACGTGATTCATATATAAAAAATAGATTACGACGATCACTTATTGATAATGATGTACTTGATGTAGCATAAATAACATTAGTTGTTGTTAAATTTACAATCAGATGAATGGTTTGTGCATCATATACATGTAATTGATGTTTTGGTTCAATAAATATTAATAAGTCGTCATGAGGAGAATAAGCAAGAAAATTGTGAGCATAAACACGGGAGACATAACCAATATTAGATGATATTTCGGATGTTTTATATTTGCCAAGCGAAAGTATCGATTTAGTCTAAATGTATAATTGAAAAAAAGAAATATCACTAAATTGAATTGTTTTGGTAGTGTATAATTCATTTCTACTGAATTTCAAGAAAATTACCTGTCCGCAGAGATTAGAAATTCGGGTTCCTCGACTTTTGGAAACCTTTAGTCAAATTTTATAAAAAAAAATCGTTATTTATGTAAAATAGTGTTGCTTTAATTGAAAAAATTGAATTAAGACAATATGACTCTTACTCATAGGTATCACCATAATTTCTACTATATATATTTTAATTGTTCATAATATGAATTATTCAACAATAAATTTGATCTCATAGATTGTACTTATTCGAGTTCATTGAAACGATTTATAATTATAGAAATGCAACATGATATTTTTATTCTGTTAAAAAAGAAAATCAATGAAAGGTCATGTTGACTTAAGTGCTATTAATAGTATCTATATAATATTGATCTAAAACAATAAGCTTAAAGAAAAAGACTACCTTGTATTAATAGTTCAAAATTTATTATTCCTTATCTGTGATAGAGAATTTACGTAGAGGGAATAACGCAGTGAAATGTATTAGAATAAAAAAAATAACTATTTATTAATTCAACGAAGTGACTGGAGATATGAAATAATCCGAATTAATATTTATACAACTAACCTTTGAACATATCTCCCGAGTATGAACTGTAGTAGCTGGATTGGTAGTATCTAAACATTGAATTTGTATGTATTTAAATGATGATGAAACAAAAAAAGAAATCGTACCAACAATAAGAACAATTGAAGTCAATAAAAGTATTGAATATAAGCTGGTCAAATAATTGAATTTGAACCAGTCAAAACCATCAACTCGCATTTCGAATGTGAAGTAAAGATTAATAACAAAAACTAGTGATAGTTATTAATATCATCGCATATATACATACATTATGTCAGTGATCGATTTCTAAACGTTTTTATTTTATTGTCAGCGTCAAAAAATTCTTTTTTACTTCCATTGAAACACAACATGTATGATCCATTAGAAATCGATCGTTGTTATAAGAACGAACGAGAGAATATTTATTGAGTAAATTTTCTCTTTTCTTCGATCTCCTGTCATTTCTTCCTGGCCGAATCAAATATCGTAAAGTGATTACTCGACAAATTAAAGTACGGTTCAGATGGAAAATAAGAAAAACTCGTCATTATTATTGTTGACGCCTTTTGGGAAGCATTTATTCGAAGGTGTAGAAAGATGAATGATAAGAGAAAAGAAAAACGGAACTAATCTAGCTGTGAAAAAAAAGCAGCAAGAAAGGAAATCGATCGAAATTAAATAAGGTAAAACAATGACTGCAATTGCAAAGGAAGGAAACAATAACATGATAAATATGCAACCGATCCAAAACTCGTTTTTTTTCCTTATCATAACTTCTAGTCATTTTTTTTTATACTTCGCTTGTGTACTAATATTGCTCAATACTACGTATTCTCTAATGAATAAAAGATATTTTTCTTACATAATTAAAAATAAGATGAATGAACAGGTGCATTCTCATTACCATATTAATCGAAGGGAAACCTGTTGAATTTCACTAGGCTCTTTCCCGAACAATCTGCTTATATTTTTTTCAATTTACCATTGATAGATATCTTGAAGTGCTAAACAATTATTGAAAGAGCTACTCCATGTTTTCGTTTATTTTTACTAGTAAAAGACTTGAGGAGGAAAAGAGAATTGAAACCGTGGTCGACCTTCGTGTATAACCATTTTCATTGAACCCTCCAGCTAACGAGAGAACCATTTCAAACACCCCTTTCAGGTTTCAATGATTTTTTTGCCTACAGATACTACAGTGTTCAAATAAAAATACCTAAAAGGATTTGCGTTCCTCTTGAAATTTGACTAAGAAGTCAATTTTTTTTAGGCGCTAAGTTTTCGAAAAACCCTTACTTTCGAATTTTGATCTAAAAATTTACGTATATATAGAACTCAACTAAACTAATGTAGTTTCCATAAAAAAATTCACAAGTTTTGAACAAAGTCTTTTCGAGATATGAAACTTTCAAGATATGGATCCTTTTCCATGATTAATGTGTACAAGATACATATTTTTAAAGCTTCATATCTCGAAAAGACTTTGTCTAAAGCTGTTGAAATTTTTTAATAAAAGTTAGTCTAGTTAAATTCTCTATCTGCTCAAAGCTTTGGATCAAAATTCGAAAAGACGAGTTTCCAGAAAACTTGACATCTCTAGCAAAAGGATCTACTAGCGATTCAATAACTTAGTCCAATCTCGATAGGAGTCCAAATCCTTTAAAGATTTTTATTAAAACACAATGTAGTATTTGTCGGCAAAAACAAATCAGTAAAATCGGAACAGGAAATCTGCTGAGGTTTCTTCGTAAGACACATACGATTTTATTTTTCTTATTATTCATTACAAATCTTGAACTATCTACTGAACTCTAGTGTGAGTCATCTCTGTAAATTTATAAAGATGCATTAATTAACTATAATAACGTAATTAAAACAATTGCTTTCGGCTATATATTCTTCTAAATAATTTTAAAAATAATATTCCTTTATGCTCCACTTTACTAGGAAATTTAATTTATCTTCAAGATAAATAAAACTAAAACACCTTGTCTCTGAAAGTCAACTTGAATTGATTCAGTATATTAAGATTCTTAATGGCTGGCAAGGTGATCGTTGAATTTCATTGACTTTCATTGAAAATAAATCCCGAATTGAAACAAGATATTCGTTTGTCATTGATTAATGATGACTGTACAAGGCACCTAGAAATTCTAAAAACCGTTGATTTTGTATTACATACCTTGCAACAATATTCTCAATTCGAACCAAGAGAGTTTTCTAAAGACAATAAAATCGTAATGAGAAAATCTGCCAAACATGCAGAATCTACCGATGCACACGAACCACCATTCAGGAAAAATTTCTTTTAAATTTAATAGCATCTGAGAAAGTTTTTTTGACAAATATTTTCTCTCAGGAAAAATTGTTCAATTTTTCCAACGAATCTCGGTTTATTTATATACAGGGTGGATCAAAAGTAAGGAAACACAATTTGTTTTTGATTTCGTCTCTATACATGAATCATCAAATAATAAAATTTCTTATGTCTACCACATTTACTAAGTAGTGATAATCACATATGTAGCATATTACCAATCGTTGGATTCAATCGTTTGTTTCAAAAGCGCACCGATATATTTTATATGTTCTTTTATGACTGTAGCAAAACTAATTCTTTCTTGTCGAATTTTATTTTCGTTTTTTTGTCTGATTGGATCAGTTTGAAGAATATATCAAATAGTATATTCATTGTTGAATTCTCTTAAAATAAAACAATGCAGAAAATAATACAAATATCTTTTAGTCTGCAAATCGATACAGTCAGACGAAAAGTGGTTATCAAATTCTACAAAGAAGGAATAATTCTTGCTTCAGTCAGATAGGAGCATACTAGATAAACCGGTGGGTTTTTCAAACAAACTATTGAGCCTAGATACGAATGACATGATATGCTTCTGACTACCACTACCTAGTATATGTGCTATCAATAAGAGATTTTATTATTCATGTGTAGAGACGAAATTAAAACAATTTTGTGTTTCCTTACTTTTGTCCACTCTATACACATTGATAAGACGTTCTACTTTTCTTTTTTCTGCTCTTTTCATTAAACTTTTGAAAGACTCATCCGTATCTTTATCTTAGTGTCAGTATCGTCTACATATGTTTACGTTCATCATGCATCTGACCACTTCTTTTACCCTGTCTTTGTGCACCTATTCATAAAACAACACGCACTATTTGAGTTCCTCTATTTTCTTTCTATATTTTTTCCTAATGGAATGCTACTACTTCCTGTTTTTTTCTTTTGCTGCTGCATACAGTTGCCGTTTTATGTGTGTATGTGTACAATATCACTAGGATGACTAATATATGGTCATCAGTGACTGAATTAAACCATTTGTCATTGGCTCGAGTTTAGTTCAATTTGAATGTACTTTCGAAAAATTAATTTGAGTTCGACTCAGTTAGACTTTATTGTTGAAAAATTGTTTGAGTCCGATTCTATTCGAGTAACCCTAGTCCAACCAAATCAGGGATTTACGATAGGTCGAAATCTATTTCTCCTGGTTCAGTTAGTTTGAAACGTTTACGAAAAGCACAAGTAACAAGAAAACTTGAACGAAACGATATTGAATAGTAGCTATCTTTTTAAATGTGTATTTGCAATATGTTCAATACTGCTAGTTGTTTTGTTTGAATAAAAATTTAAAACAAGAAAACTCATTTTTTAATTGAGTTTTATAGAGGGGGGAAATTTTTCGCAAAACATTTGCCGTTCGGAGATATTTTTTATTTTACCGGCAAAGTCTGCACGTCTGAAATCTATCTAGTTAATAAAACAAGTTTTTGAGTTTAAATTTTTTCGATAAGTAAGCATTGTATAGATTAACAAAAGCTTATGAACACATGAGTTTAAGTTGCGACTTGGCTGAAACATCAACTTATTAATGTCATTTTCTTGTAGCACTCCACTTTCTTGACA